TTGGGGTTTCACTCTGTCACTTGATTATTATTATTATTATTTTTCGCCCTGGCCTTTTTGGACAAGGTTTGAGGAATAAAAAAAACTAAATATCATTTTTGGTACATGCATCTTGCACTACTTTATGCTTAGAGCCCTCAAAATCTCATATACAGCCAGTGAGAGAACCAAGAAGAAAAAAGATGAACATGAGTTCCCAAACTGTGGCCAGGATTCCAGTGGTATATTTCTCGAAAGTGGACTGCCTGAAGCCGGGGACAAGCTCTTGGCTCTCAGCACGCAAAGACGTTTGTCGGGCGCTCGAAGAGTTCGGATGTTTCATGGCAATCCTACCCAGCAAAGTTCCTCCGGAACTTCACAAAACCATCTTTAATGCATTTGACGAGTTGTTTAATTTCCCCGTCGATACTCCTGACAACCCTTTACGTGCTGGCTACCTAACTTCCCGTTCTGGGCAGAAGACCTTTGGAATTATTAATGGCACAAACCCTCAAGAAACTCAGGAATTCACACATCTTTTTTGGCCAAATGGAAACGACCAACTTCGGTATAATTTTATTCTACATATGCAAGTCAAGTTCGATTTACAACTATATATATAGCTTATTGGTTTGTTTACAAGATTAATACACTTGTTCTTGTTGCACAGTGAGACTGCTGACTTGTATGCAAAAGTGATGGCAGAGATAGATGAAGCTGTGACAAGAATGGTATTTGAAAACTATGGTGTAGAAAAGTACCATGACGATCACTTCCGATCGACTTTTTACTATCTCCGGCTTATAAAATACAAAGAACCCAAGAAACTTGGAGTTGATGTGGGTTTACGCAGTCATACGGACAAGAACTTTTCCTCCATACTCCATCAAAATCATGTCCATGGTCTGGAGATCAATACAAAGAATGATGAGTGGGTAGTGTTTGATCCTCTACCTTCATCCGTGATATTCATGGTGGAGACGTATTTCAGGCCTGCCACCAAATAATACTTTGTTCATGCTTTATTTATAGCTCGTTTGAGACTCTTTTACAGGAGCACTTCTGCTTACTTCTGCTTATAAGCGTTTGTTCAAGATGCTCGGTTATTTGAAGAACGTCGAATTTTTTTATTAGAAATCTAGCCATGTGAGAAGCAATCCAAAATAGGCTAAGGATATTTGCATGCTTTGATTGGCCTAGGTTTGGAGCAACGATCGAGTTCGACCGTGTAGACATAGAGTGACATTGAAGGAAAATGAGGTGAGATACTCGTTCGGACT